GGGCGCCCCCGGGCCGCGCGCGCGAGCGCCCCACCTGAAAGCGCCTCGATGGCCTTGAGGGCCCAGCCCTCGTCCGGGCAGTCCACGAACGCGTAGCCCGTCTTCACCAGGAAGGGGCCGGCCACCGGGATCTTGGCGTCCTTGAAGACACTTTCCAGGTCCGCGGGGCCGGCGTGGTCGCTGAGGTTCCCGATGTACAGTTTGTTCATTGTGAAGAGGGGGGGTGTTTAAAAAAGAGAGAGAGAGACGGGGCGAGAACGAGGAAAATGCTCAATCAAAAGCCCCCACGGCGCGGGCGCGGAGCCGGGCGGGTTTTCTTTCCTCTCCCTCTGGCCTTGCACAGCCACACGCGGCGACCGAGCACGGGAGCGGCGGGCGGGGAGGCAGAGCCGGGGTCCTCTCGGCCTCCTCTGGGTATTAGAGAGAGAAAGGAAAAGCCTAGCGACGAGCCCAGCGTCGAGTCTTCCTAACTCCGGGAGGAGGCGGGCTCAGCAGAGAAAGGAGGAGGCGCGGGGGGGAAACTACTTTTTGTCTCTTCCTCCCCAGCCCCTCCGCCGCGGCCAGCGGGCTGTGAAAATATCACCCTCCGTGGGGCAGGCGCCGCCTCCCCGTAAAAACCCCGAGGGCTGAGTGGCCGCGGCGAGGGCAGCGGGGCGGGGGCGGCCGCGGCCAGGGTCCGGCTTTTTGAATGAGCCACGTGTTCAAACTACAAATCAACGTCTCACGTGAGGGATCCCGGCGCCTCAATTAGAGTGGGCTTCGGGGAGAGAGGGAGACGAGAGAGAGAGAGAGAGAGAGAGAGAGAGAGAGAGAGAGAGAGAGAGAGAGAGAGAGAGAGAGAAAAAAAGAGAAAAAAAAAGAGCGAGGGGGGGGGGGGGGGGGGGGGGGGGGGGGGGCGGGGGACCCCGAGCCGGGGAGCGGGGCGGGGGGCGCCGGGCCGCGATGGGCACGGCGGGTTCGGGAGGCTCCGAGCCCACGCGAGCGACGAGGGAGGGAGCGGTTGAGGGGGTCCCGCCGTTGTAGTTTTTTTTAACCATTCGATCTTTTTTTTTTCTTTTTCTTTTTTTCTTTTTGAAAAAAAAAAATTAATAATAATAATACTGGGTTCCTTCACAACGAAACCTGAATGGCACTCTGGAACTCGCGCGGTGGCTGTGCGGACGGGGGCGGGGAGCGTGGACCCCGGCCCGGCGCCGCACCCCTCGCGGGCCCCGGGGAGCGGGCGGGCGGGCGGGCGGGCGGCCCGGGCCGGCGTGGGGGAGGGGAGCCGGCGTCCTGGGCGGGTGTCTGCGCGACACCTCCTCCGCCGGCGCTCCGGGTGGCTCTCCGCCTCGCCGCCCATTGGCTGGCGGGCCGCGGGGCGGCTCTGGATAAACGAGGCCGGGGCGGGGGAGGGGCGCGGGCGGAGGCTGCGGGGCTGGGGGCGGCCGAGTGGGAAAAGTCGGTGCTTAAAGGGAAACCCTCGCTTCCTGTGGTCTGTCGGGGGGAGCGCCGGGGGGGGCGGCGGCCGAGGCCGCTGCTGCTCTCTCCACAGTCTTTACTTGGGAGAACTTGGGGCGCCCGTGGAACCCCGCTCGGCGCCGGTGCCGGGGAAGTGTTCCTCGGCTCTTCTCTGCCTTCCTCCGACTGCGCGAGCCATTCATAATTTTCCCTTTAGGTAGCGAGCACAATGGTGGTTGGGGGGTTGGGTCTGGGCCCGGTGGAGCCTTCCTGAGCCGACAGAATGCGAGCAGAGACCGGGAATGCGGAGAGGAGGCTGAGCCCCCGTCCCCGGAAGCACCTCCCGTGGCTTTAGTGGTCGTGGGCTCTGCTCAAAGGCTACACGAGAGAACTTGGGATATATTTTTTAACAGGTATTTTGTGGAGCAGAAAAATTACTGGGTTTAGATGACTGAAATTAAGTTCTGTGTAGCCTGGAAATACAGACGAAAATCTAATGTTTTGCTACTCTTGTTGGAAAATGTGAATAGAGAAAATATGTGCTTCATGCTGCAAACGTCTTCAAGCAATTGATAATTTGATATGGTGTGGTGTGCTTCTCTTTCAAAAACCTTATTAACACTTTAAAGTGTATCTCTCAAAGAAAACACAAGGAGCAGTTTATTTTTAGACCGTGGGGTTATTGGACGATCTGTTTACATTTGCCTGTTAAGGGGAACTTAGTTTTATGCTAAGTAACCGGAAGATGTAGGATCATCCATTTTAGATGCAACTGTTCTTTCTAACAGGTTTTTCTTTCCTGCTAAGTAAACCCAACTGTATAAATGTAAACACACTTTAGCAGTATTTTCGCCTAAGCTCCATTCAGTAAAATGGTCTGTATGAGAAGATGACACAGTGTTTAGAACCACTGGAAATCTGGAAAGAACACCTTTGGAGGGAGAAAGTGTTTATAGCCAACTTTAGCTGTTAAAAGACCTACTTGCTCTTTGAAAGCGAAACGGCTCTCAAGAAAAATATGTATTCCTTCTAGCTTCTGTGGCATTCAAAAATGTCAGTATAAAATAGACGAATTTATTTTTGTAGTACTTCATTCGTGTAAACCAAGCCTAGTTGGAGAAATGTTTTTATTCGTAATGTTTGCTTTTCTGAAAATCACTTTGTTAATGAGTCTGATCTTATAACTTAGTAATTATTCAGAACAACAGACTGATCGGCTACCAAATTGTATTGACTTTTTCTGGATCAACTGTATTTGGTTTTATTAAAAATGACACCTAACGAAATAACTAGTTTTAAAACATGGGGTAAATTATTTATTTTCTATAAATATTAGCCCATGGTTGTCTGTCACTGTCAAACAAATCTTAACAGCTGGAATTTAAACCAAGTGTGTGGGGATTTAATGACTGTGTTCCTGAACTCCTGTAAATTTAATCTGTGTTATTATTGTAACAAACTGGATACTCTGTCCAGGACCTTAACACTCCAGTAATAAAAGTTGAGACATCAAAAAGAGAGTTGGGTGTAGCCCACTTCCAATCCTCCAAACATTTGAGGGGTTAAGTCTATACTCCGTGGCAAAATTTTTAAATGGGGGGGGGGGGTGTTAATTTAGCTTTTCCAGCGCAAAAATTAAAAAACGAAATTTCCAAAACAAATATGAAGTCAGTGTAACACCTCAAAACCGTAAATTAATTGTATGGATGCTTTAAAGAATTTCCTCACGTTATTTATACGTGGACTAGTCGGGATTCTTCAGCAATTGTGGCTCCCTAATTAATATTTTCTCCACGGAGGAAGAACCCCCACCCATCTGTCTACCCATTCGACAGCTGCATCTCTCCTGATGACCTGGAAGAGTACAAACGTTTGAGGCTCTGTGCAGCGTGAAGGAAAGTACGCCTGGAAGTCCGTTAGGGTTTCTGTATCCACAGGTTGTGGGCAGAGCAGAGGTCGGCCCTCGGGCTCCCGGCCTCACCCCACGCCGGTGGGCACGCCTCACTCCTCCCGAGAACCGCTCCGCTGAGCGCTGCCCGAGCCAGAGGCGTGCTCAGAGACCGGCTCTGCCCAGGCTCCACAGTCTGTCACTTCTGCCTGCGTCAAACAAACATGGTGCCCGGGAGCTGAGGAGATGGGCCGGTTCGTCTTCTTTCTGCAGAAAGGGCGAACCCGTCGAAACGCACACGCGGGGAAATCCTCCCGGGCGCTGCTCGCCCCGGAGCCCTGGCCACCCGGCCGCACCCGCGCGTGGGGCCTGCGTGCGGGCGCGCTGGAGGATGCTCGGTCCCCACGGAGAAGGGACGACGGCAGCGTCGGCTCCGCCGGGGCGGGCCGGGCGGGGCGGCTGCCGATGGCGCGGAAAGCGGCCTAGGGCGGAGCTCCGCGCCCCGCAGGACCCGGACCCGCACCCGACGCCGGGAGAGGCGCCGCCCTCGCCGGGGCCGCTCGCCGATTGGCGGAGGCGGCGAGCCTATGGCCGGCGGCCGCCGCCTCCGGAGTCTTCGCTGGTCTCCACCCATTGGCCCTCGGGCCTCCCCTGCATTTGCATATTTTGTGGCGCGAAAATAACCCTTTGCTCCCTTGTTGCCGGTGCGGTGGGTGAGGGGCTTCCGCCCGCGGCGTCCTGCCCTTTAAACTGCCCGGCCGGCGGCCGCGCGCGGCGCCCGGGGCCGGCCGGAGGTCGGGGCTGCGCGGGCGCGCCCCCCAGACCCAGCCCTCCCTTTAGGGCTGCGGACGTGTCCCCCAACCCCCTCTCCTTTTTCCAGTTCCAAGAACCGCGACCACTTAGGTTCCCAGGTGCCTGACCCTAGCCAGCTGCCGAGCCTTCGTTCGGCCCCTCCCTCCCCAGCTCCCTTTGTGGTCCACCCCGTTGTTTTAACCAAAACCAAACAACCTCTGGGGTGGGAAAAGACAGAAAAGCAAAAGAAAAATTCCGGGAGAAATCAGCTAGGCTAAGACCACGTTTTCGTTGAAGCTGCCCCAAGACCGGTGAAGCTGAGACCGACCTGGAAGGATTAACGATTTCTGTAGCTGAAATGTACTAATTTCACTGACGTTTGGTGGAGACGGTGAGAGAAAATAAATATGAAATTGGTTTGGAAAAATACGAAACAAACGAAATAATCATATTTGACTCCAGTAACTGAGAAGGTAAACAGCCACCATGTGTGAGTTAGTGCTGGTGGGTTTCTATTTATAAATTTAAAAAAAATAATAATATAACGATCAGAGCTCTGGTCGTGACAGAAAATAAGGAAGTACAAATTTGTCTCATGTGTCTACATTCATAAAAGATTTTACCAGTCTTTATCTGGAGAAAAAAGAACGAACCAATCAGAAATATAACAAATTTATCCACAGGTAATTTTAATTATTTTAAAGTCTTGGCAAGGAAAAGAAGAAAATAGTTAAAAACTGGTAAAAGATTATTCTTCAGAAAATATGTAAGACTTTGAAGAAATTGGTTTAAATCAGTAAGTTCAAAGATTTTTCTGTGTAGTGTTAACTGAAAGTTGTAGGTTAAGTCACAGCCTCTTCAAGTTCTTTTGGGAAAACTGTTGAGTTCTTTACTGTTTAGATCTAGTCTCTAAAGTCGCATTAAAGTAACAAATTGCCATGTACCATAGTCGTGAAGCAGTTATTTAAGCAGCTTTTTTGAAACAAAGTTTAAATAATTAATGAATTGGTCAAGAACTTAAAACAGAAGTAACCATTTGTTTAACACATTTGTTTAATTTAACTACATCTCATTAATGTGGTTAATAAG